TGGCAGATCGTACTGCGGCCACCGCTGGCCTGAAGGGCTGCATCCGTCTCCTGGATGTGAACAACCAGATGTACGACCTGCGGGAGAAAGGCAGCGATGTGCTGTACGGCAGGGGGGGGGGGGGGGGGGGCGACCGGCCCCGCCCCCCCAACGCCACCACGGTGGCATCTGCCACGTCAAGGAGGCGGAGATGTTCCACTGCGAGTGTCTCTACACCTACACCGGTACGGGGAGGGGGCTGTGGGCAGAGCATCACTGGGGGTACTGGTCCTACTGGTGGGCTCTGAGGGGTCCCAGAGCCTTGAGGGCTCATGTTGGGAGCTGCAGTGGAGAGGAACGTGGTGTGGGATAGATGGAGAAGCGTAGGATGGAGCCACATCCAGTGATGGCCATGAATTTAGGATTTAGGCTTATTCATGTGCACATGAGAAGGGCTGGGACCTGTCTGTTCTCGTGCACAAAAACAACTCCCCTTGCATTTTAGGGGCAGCACAAAGCATACCCTGGCAAGGGTCATCTGCCATTTGTGGAGTCCGTAGCAGGGGGCACCTTAGGTGGTGGGAATGTCCTGAGACGTTAAAAAGGCTGTCAGGGCCATCAGGAGACATGAGGGATGCTTGTCTCTGGTCACGGATGGCTGTTGGTTTGAGACGCTGCCTTTGCTGCCGCAGGCCCCACCAGGCCCCACGTGTGCCGACGAGAGGACCCCCTGCGACCCTTCGCCCTGCCACGTCTCTGCCACCTGCCTGGTGCTGCCGGAGGGAGGCGCCTTGTGCGCCTGCCCCATGGGCCGGGAAGGAGACTTCTGCGAGCGAGGTGGGACGGGGGCCGGCAGCGGATGGGGCTGGGAAGTGGGTTGCGCTGACGGTGCCGCTGTCCCCAGGCTGGGTGGCCAGGAGGCATCGCCTGCCGTGGCGCTGGCTGAAGCTGCTCTGCCTCCTCTTCCTCACCATTACCTCGTTTGTGCCCAGTGACAGAGCAGGACCACACCATGCCCTTCCTCCCGGAGTTCAATGGCTTCTCCTACCTGGAGCTGAACGGGCTGCAGACCTTCGTTCCTGACCTGCAGTAAGTCCCAGGGCACGGCACACAGAGGAAGGAAGCAAGCGTGTAGGCAGCTGGATTGGAGGGTATCCATGATCCTTCTCTCCTCAGGGACAAAATGTCCATGGAGGTTGTGTTCCTGGCCAAGAACCCCAGCGGGATGATCTTCTACAACGGGCAGAAGACGGATGGCAAAGGGGACTTTGTCTCTTTGGCCTTACACGACGGTTACCTGGAGTACAGATACGACCTGGGCAAAGGGGCGGCTGTGCTCAGGTAAGGCACCCAAACTGATCAGGGGAGGTTTCCAGTGCTGTGTTTTCAGGTGCTCATGGCCAAGCTCTCATCCGTGTGTCTTCTCCTCCCTTCTCAACCCCAGGAGCAAAGAGCCAGTTCCCCTCAACACCTGGATAAGCGTCTTGTTGGAAAGGAACGGGCGCAAGGGGGTAATGAGGATCAACAACAGCGAGAGGGTGATGGGAGAGTCACCGGTAAGTTGGTTTCCAGCCCTGCTCCTCTCGTGTGTGAGGTCCTCTCAGTGAGCTGAGACGTTCCCAGGCTCGTGGTGCACAGCTTTAGGGGTGGAGTGGGCAAGACCTGGGGAGAAAAAGATGCTGCAGCGGCACACACATCGATTCTTGGAGACCTTGTTTTTGGGGATGTGTTTGACTGAGCCCCCCTCACACACACACATCCAGATTCCTGCAAAAGAAGGGAATTTTTCCTCCCCTCCCTCTCGTCTTTCCAAACTTTTCTCCACACAATTCCCCCTGGTTGGCAGGGTGGTCACAGCCCCTCTGGTGCCTCCTGCAGCTCCCCTTCCCCGCCAGCACCGGGCACTGGTGGTCTTGCAGCCCTGCATGTTACGGCGTTACCCACTGATCTCCCTTTTCTCTCTCTTTCTCTCTCTCCCTTTGATTTTCATTTGTATTTTTCCCTCCCCTGCTGTCTGGATCCCAGAAATCCCGTAAGGTAAAGATAAGTATGACCCACTGCACTTCATCCCATCTGCCATTGGCACCTTGTTCTTTTGTTTTTTTCATTTTCCATTCAGATCTCAGTGTTTCACCCCCTCCCCTTCCCATCCAAGCAAGCAGATACTTGTAGAGTAGAGACACTCGTTTCCTCCTCCCTCATTAATTTCCAGCCAGCTGTTACATTTTTGTTTTTAGGAAGCATTTCAATTAATCCGGTCATGTGTTATTTTTTGTGTTAACTCCACAAAGCATTAGCTAGCAATCCATATAACAGCATCCTTGCCTCGCCGCCGTGCCTCTGGGGTCCCTCCTGGGCACACAGGAGGGGACATCGCTCCTGGACTTGCCGTGCTGTGCTGTTGGGGTGCAGAGTGAGGGCATGGAGGGGGTCTTTCTCTTCCAAAATCACAGCTATGTGAGATGCAGGAGAAGCTCCTTTAGGCTTTTGCTACAGGGGACCTGTAGCAGCCAGATGAAGCCAAGCTGAATCCCTTTGGTATGAGTTTGGGCCACTCTGGTATGAGTTTGGGCCATTAGCCCTGGCGAGACTGAAGCAATATTTGTCTGCATGGTTTTGGGGGCTACACAAACCCAAAGGCCTCCACGCCTGAGGGCTTTAGAACAGCATCTCCCGCAAAGTAAATTACCAGGAAAATCTTTTCCCTGTGTGGAAAGAATGGGGATGGAGCAGAAGGTGGGGACTCCAGTCCCCAGGACACAGCCCTTGAGGGAGGAAGGCAGGGAGTTGGGGAGCATCTTCTCCATCTCACCTTCTCCATCTCACCTTCTCCCCTCTCCTCCCCAGGTGCCTCACACCTTCCTGAACCTGAAGGAGCCGTTTTACGTGGGGGGAGCCCCTGATTTCAGCAAGTTGGCTCGGGCGGCTGCCATCTCCACCAGCTTCGATGGGGCTGTGCAGAGGGTAAGGCCCTGTGGGGCTGGTGTCTGACTGGGACGTGCCATCTGCACCGGCATCACCAGAGGAGAACAGGGACAAACCTGGGGGTGGGCTACCCTGGCATGGGGGACATGGCCAGTGGTGGGTGGCAGAAGGGGAGACTGGGGGTGCATCACAGGAATATGGGGGGCTTGGGGCTGGATTCCCATCTCCCCAGCCCCACAGAGGCTGAGTTGTGCTCCCTCTTGCTTGCATCTGCCAGATCTCCGTCAAGGGGGTGCCCGTGCTGAAGGAGCAGAACATCCGCAGCGCCATCGAGATTTCCCCCTTCCGAGGCCACCCCTGCACCCAAAAACCCAACCCTTGCCAGAACGGGGGCGCTTGCAGCCCCCGGCTTGAGAGCTACGAGTGTGCCTGCCAGAGGGGCTTCTCCGGGGCTCACTGCGAGAAAGGTGAGGCTGCTGGGGCAGGGCTGGACCCGTATGGACCCTCACCCATTTGCCAGACATGGCAATTAAGCCATTTCCATGATTAGCTGGTGGCAGCAGGGCCACCGAGGCCAAGCCTGGGGTCTTGTCCTTGTTGGCCAAGAGGAAGGGATCCATGGGGGGACAAGCTGGGGCTGCCTGTGTAGCTGGAAGTGCTATGGTGCTGACAGGCCCCCAGGGATGACAGGTTTGTCCATGCTCTCATCCTGTTAGGAATACTCAGGGTAAAGGGGGATTTTCCTGGTCTCCAAGGACACATGGGCCATGCTGTGTTGCCTGACAGCTCTTTTCTTTCCCTCACCTCCAGTGATCATTGAGAAGGCTGCTGGGGACGCAGAGGCCATCGCTTTTGATGGTAGGACGTACATGGAGTACCACAATGCTGTGACAAAGAGGTAACTTGGCTGCTGAGCTGAGCCGAGGTCAAAACAAGGAGTTGGGGCTGTTAGGAGGAAGAGCTAGGGACAAAGAAATCCAAATTCAGGGCTCAAAGAGGGGCAAGCCAAACTGAGGTGGCTTCCAGCCCTCACCTATGAAGCCACCTTGGTCACAGAGGGCTGTGTTTGGCCAACTTCGGGTCTGGATGTTCCCATTCTGCAGCATGATACACCTTCTGGGTTAGCACAGCCTGGTTTGGGAGTGGGATGGAGCTGCCTGAGCGCACCCCATGGAGATGGTCAATGTGGCCGGTGCCTTTCTTTGCTGAAAAAAGCAGTTTCTTCTTTCTCAACCCTGGCCCTGTGGGGTGCAGGTTTGGACCCTGTGGTCTCAGTGGCCGTGCTGGTCCCTTGGGGCTTCTCTCTCCGGATAAGCAGAACCTGGTACCCAGCTGAGGTCCTCTTCATCCTCCGGGCTGGATGTTTCCCCTACAGGAGCCGCTGCTCCTCCAGCCCGTGGTTAATTCCCAGCTCCACGGCACTGGGATCAGGCTCTGTCCATCTGCCTCTTGCACCCTCATCCTCCTCGCTGCCCAGGAAAGAAGGCGTCTGTGTCGAGCTGTTGTTTGTCGCTCTGTCTGTCTGTCTCTTCTCAATGTCCTCGTTTCTTTGTTTTCAAGCCACCTGACCAATGAGATCCCTGCGTAAGTACAGTGTCCCCCGCCACCCATCTCCTCCTCACCGCCATCTGCCCCCCACCACGTCCCCCATTGCCCAGCTGACCACCCGCAGGGGCAGATGTGGGAGGAGGAATTAGGGCCGTGCCATAGGCAGGCATTCCCATTTCGGGGTGAGGGGGATATGCAGCTCTGGCAGCAGTTTGGGCGTTGCTCTGGTGTTTTGGGAAGGGCTTTCTAGGAGCCAAGCATCCTCCCAAGCCAGACATTGCCTCACAGCGACCCAAAAGCCGCCACCTCTGTGCCCTGCCTCTCCCAGCGCTCCGCAAGGGGAAGGTCACCGTTCCCAGCCCTCCTCAGCCAGCCTATTTTGGCCGTGCGTGCCCCATCCTGCACAGGGAGCCGAGCGCTTCACCCAGGTCGCTCCGCTGGTTGTGGCAGCGGCGCCCGCGGGCCCTGCCAGGACCTGAGGGACCCATTGGGCTGCCCATAAAAAGCAGTTTCTTCTGCCGCCGGGCAGACAGGCGGGTGTGCCTCGGGCAGGGCTGATAGCTCCTCTGGGCCCTGCCGGCCGTGACATGCCCGTAGGTTTATTTTGAACGCACATTTTTATATATACACCTAGTCGGAGCAGGCGGTGCCAGCAGGACAGCTGGAGCCCTGGGTTTCCCCTTCTCCTCGTCCTGCCCCGCTGCCCGAGTGCCCCAGGGCTGACTCAGAGGCCTTTCGTGTCCATCCTGCCTCGATTGCAACCCGTTCCGCGGCACCCCAAAAAACCAGCCTCGTGCAGGGCCATCTACAAAAACTCCTTTCCCCCCCACCACAGCCCCCTGTCCCACCCGGGGGGCCCCTTTGCTGGATGCACCTCCCAGCGCGACCGCTGCTAATCCCGACCCGGGAGAGCCTTGCAGAGCCCCCGCGCCGCCGGGACAGCGCTGCATTTGCTCATTGGCATCGTTCTGCTCACCCTGGCTAAGCAAGGACTCGAGCGGGGTGGGTGGGAAGGGGTCCCCTTCGCTGTCCCCGCGCTTATGGCACGCTCCCCTTTCTTCCCGCATCTAAGTCCCGACGCGCTGGACTATCCCGTGGAGCCCAGGTGAGTCCGTGCCAGGCTTCTCCGCTCTCGTGTCTCGTGCCCTGCGCCCGCTGCCGCCGCATGTCTCTGTCTCTGTGCTTTGTGTCCATGTTCCTGGCTTTTTATTTGTAAGGGATACAGCTGATAAACACCAAGGCAGCCCTGGTCAGCACGGGAACAGCAGCACCCCGTGCTGGGGCACCTCGACAGCAAATAGCTATGAGTGAGGGGAAATGCTGGGGTACCTTTCAGTGCAGCGGGCTTCACGCAGAGCCCTTTGGGTGCAGTGTCCCTTGGGAATAAAAAGCTGTCTGTTGTCCATGGTGTCTGGTCCACGTGTACGTGTGTGTCTCAGCATCACAGCAGAGTGGATGGCGACTCCGTATGGCAACTTCACCCGTTGCCAAGAGCGTTTTGCCCCTTCCAAAAGGGACTGAGCAGGGAAGGTGCCATTCCCCAGCCCACCTAACACACCTCTTCCTTCAGCTCCTGCATACAGGGAGGTAAAACCAAGACTCGTGTGTCACAGCTTCATGTGTCTTAATGTGCAAAGGCGCAGGACGGTAACCCCAGACTGGGTTTTTGGAGGTTCAGGCTGAATTTTGGGGAGGACACTTTGTTTCCAGAAGAAATGCACAGCCCTGGCTCAGGTCAGGAGGAAGATAGGGAAGCTCCAGTCATGGTGTTCAGAGCCACAGCCGCCCTCCTCTACTACTGGCAATGGCCTTGTTGGTGGGAGCTGGGTTTGAGACCCCCAGAGAGCCATTTCTTTGATCCAGTTCAGAGCTTCCCATCTGCTCCCCCCATGCCCCAGACCCTGGGGACATTGCAAAGGCTGTGACCCCTGGAACACAGCAGGAAGGGACCGAGCCCTCACGCACAGCCTGAAGCCAAAGGGGGCTGCAGGTTGCCCTTGTGGAGTGGGCTTAGTTGGTGGGGACACAGGAGGCCACTCCCAGGGCCTGCTGTGTTTGTAGCTGTGTTTTTAACTCTGTCATCGCCCCATGCAGCGAGAAGGCCCTGCAGTCGAACCACTTTGAACTCAGCATCAAAACCGAAGCCACGCAGGGGCTGATCCTGTGGAGCGGGAAGGGGCTGGAGCGGTCGGACTACATCGCCCTGGCCATCGTGGATGGCTTCGTCCAAATGACTTACGACCTGGGCTCCAAGCCGGTCGTCCTGCGCTCCACCGTCCCCGTCAACACCAACCGCTGGATCCACATCAAGGCCTACAGGTGAGAGGGGACAGCGGGGCCGTCACAGATGGCTCTGGGATGGGCAAACTGGGGACGAGGGCACCTGAGTCACGGCCGTGGCTCCCTGCCCTGTGAGCCCCAAGGGTCGCTCCTCTTTTCGGATAATAATAGAGGAGAGGCATGCGGGCAGCGCCGCCTTGGAGGGGCGCGTTGTGACACGCCTGGGAATGTCCAAGGGGGTGCGAGAGGGGCGCGAAAGGTCCGTGCCTTTGATTTCGGCCGGATGAGGATTTCACATTCTGTTCGCGTTGCTTCCCTTTTATTTTTGGTGGTGGTGGGAGTGGTGAGCGGATCCTGCAGCTGGCATGGCAGGGGTGTCTGATGGGGGGCTGCGGGATGCTCTGGGGATGCTGGAGGGGACCATGGCTGTGTGATGCTCCCTGGGGAGGTGTTGCACCCAGGACCACGCTGTGTTATTCAGCCAGAAGAAGAGCTCTGCTCCCTGCTCCTCTCCACGTGGAGCAGGGCTGATATCATCCTAAAATCACAGAATATTAAGGTTGGAAAAGCCCTCCAAGATCAGCAAGTCCAACCATCAACCCAACCCCACCGTGCCCACTAAACCAGATGGTGCCCAGTGTCTGGATTTAGGGTTTTTTGCCCCTAAGGTTGTTAATCACCTTCTGTTTCTTCTTCTCCCACCCGCGGGAGCAGGGTACAGAGAGAAGGTTCCCTTCAGGTCGGCAACGAAGCCCCCATCGCTGGCTCCTCTCCGCTGGGTGCAACGCAGCTGGACACGGACGGGGCCCTGTGGCTGGGTAAGTGGTGTGGAAAGGGGGGACCTCCTCTGCACCCCTTCCCGAGGGGCTCTGAGCTGCACCGGGGGGCATTGATGCTCCCTCATTTCCAATGGGACACCTCTGCCTCCCAAGTAACGTTGACCTAAAATGCTCCTGGCTTGTTTTCTGGGATCATCTGTAGTGCAGAAACAGTGAATTTTATTATCTCCACGCTTTTCAGAAGCATCTGTTCTTATCTTCCCAGTCTAAGCCTGTAGTTTCAAGTCTAACACAGAGAGTTAATATGAAAAAAATGTAGCCTTATCTGTGAGAAAACCATCCCAGGCACCATGGCTTGTTCCGAAATGAGCCCAGAAGTTACATGGAAAGCAGAATTTTTCCATGAGAAATTTCTGCGTGGCTTTCCCACTGGCTCTTCCAAAGGTTTTGTTTGCAGTCTTCATAATTCCAGGGCCTGGAATGAGCCATAGCTGACGTTTCAGTCACCAAAATAAACTTCAGTTTGGATTTGGGACCAGCCTCCAAGGAAACGAAGCATTTTAGAATGCAAATTACCGTTTCAGGTGTCTTCAGGAAACCTGTGTATTGGTTGCAACTGGCATTTCTCTGATTTAAGTGAAAAGTACCGCCAGGAAAGAGGGGTTTTTGCACTGTTACGTCCTTGTTCCTCTTGCCCGACCCGTGCTGTGTCTTGCAGGGGGTCTGGAGAAGCTGAGCGTGGCTCACAAGCTGCCCAAGGCCTACAGCACCGGCTTCATCGGCTGCATCAGGGACGTCCTCGTCGACCGCCAAGAACTGCACCTGGTGGAGGACGCTTTAAACAACCCCACCATATTACACTGCTCAGCCAAATAGACCCCCAGGGACCCTCCCTGCTCCTTCCCTCCCTCCTGCCTATTGCTGTAATTATTTTCTATTTTTGTAAACTTATTGCTTTTTATATTTTTTGGGGGGGGGGGAGGGAGGGGAAAGGGAGGGGGCGGAAACACCTTTTCTTTTGGGTTATTTGTTCGGTTGCCGTCTATCCAGGTCAGTCAGACTCTAATCAAACAGCAGCAACAAAGAACAAACCTTGAACCAAGTCTCCAAGAAGTGACAGAAGAACTTCCCCGTCGCACCTGCGTTGTAAATCTTATTCATACTTGAAGCTTCTTCTTCTTCTTCCTTTTTTTTTTTTGGGTTCTTTGTCCCCCCTCCTTACTTCCGTACTTGATCAAGCCGGTGGGGGAAAGGATGCCGGTGCTGCCCAGATTCGTGGCCTTCGTGGATTCAGCGCCTTCCAAAACCCCGGGCCTGGCCCCAACGCCCCCCTCTGCGGTGCAGGGAAGCGGCCGATGGAGGAGCAGGAATCACCGCCCCGTTTTTGGGGGGCCTTCTCCCGGCCCCGCGTTCACCCCGTCTCCCTCCTCCCCGCCTTCCTCTCACTCTAATTTATGTGTGTAAGGATCTCAAGTGCTTTTCTCCTTTATATGCTCTGTTCAAATCAGGGATGCCATGCACTGGAAGAGAGACCAAGGTCTGCTGCGAGCAGGCAGGAAAGCATTGCTCTTTGGTTGTCCTATGACTGTTTGCTGGACCGAGAGGTGCTGGGGGGGGGCTGTGCTCCTCCTCCTCCTCTGGGACACGTGCAGAAGCAGCTGTGAAACCTCATCTCCACGCTTTGTGTTCATCCATGTCCTCACCCCCTGGCTGCTCTTCCCAAGGGCTTCTGCGCCCCCAGCGTCGCCCTCCCGCGCACCAGCGAGACCTTCAAGAGCTGGGAGGACCCCTCCTCATCCAGCACCATCAAACGGGTGTGAGGGCACGGAGGGGGGATCCCTTTTCACTTCAAAAATTACCTGTTGGATGTGTCCTCCCATGGCCCGTGTTCGTTCTCCAGCCTCCAGCCATGACTTGCCCTCTGCCTCCCGTTGAACCAGTGCAGAGCCGGTGGTGGAGCCTCTCCCATGAGGAATAATTGGAGTTTTTACCTTTTACTTCATGTTTCTGCGACCCAGGGTCTTCCACCCCTCTGGATCCTTCAACCCCCCTGCAACGGCCGTGGGGACGGGGCACAAAGCGGTAGCGTTTGGGAGGGGGTGTTTTATTTTTCAAGTGTTTTCTGGGAAAGCAAATCCTGTGGTGCCAGGTACGACCCCGGTGCGCGTGTTTCGGAATGAAGGGGTGCGTGCGAGTGTCTGTCCCCCTCCCACCCATAAAAATACCACATTTGTGGGGCGTGCACAATCAATCTGAAGGATCCCACCAGGTACCACGTGTTATTTAATGCCCATTTCCCAGTTTTACCATAAAAAGCCCAATTCTCTCAGGGCGAGCTCTGAGCACGGATGTAACCGAGGGGAAGAACACAATGTAAAACCACTCGGGTTTCTGTTTCTATTCTTTTTCCTCTCTTTTTATTACAAGAAATCTATTCCCTCCCTATCTATGCCTAATCTATTGACATTCCTCTACAACTCCAGTGGTTCAATATTGCCCGGGGGGCTGTGCCCTCTGGGATGGATCCCACATTTTGGGTATCTCCTGTATATAAACGGTGGTTCCTGGTGGGCGGTGCTGTATTTTTAACGGCGAGGCGAAGCCAAACTGGGGCTGACTGGGATGGGAGGGGAAGGGGCTGTGTTTTGGGGACCCGAATTCTGGCTGGGCAATGCCACCGCGTTGGCTGGACGTGCCAAATCCCCAGGGACGGGGAGAGTGCGTGCGCAGAGGAAGCTGCTAATTTTCGGGAATGCCACTGAAATGAAGCCAGGGTCGCTGCAACAACAACAACGACGATTTCAACAAACCACAATTAGACTAGAAATCTCTGTCTGCTTTTGCTGGGGCTTGGAAATGCCTTAAAACAGGGCCTTGCGTCCTCGTTGTCAAGCATCTTGAACCAAGGTCGGATTCAGCAGTGCTCCCTAGGGGCTGTGCACTTAACTTCGGCTTTATTTTTAATAGCATTTATAACATGTATGTACAAAAAAAAAAACCCACAAAACAAAACAAAAAAAGACATTGAGGTTTGGTTCTTTTTCTGTTTTTTTGTTTTTCGTTTTTATTTTAAAGATGTCCACGTGGCTTCATTTATAGGGTAACTTAATGACCGTTGTGAACTGCTGTATGGATTCTGAAGGGCAATGCACAGTAGAGGAGCAGCATGATATAACCATTACTAACTTGTGTCTTTCGTCAATCACCATGAAATAAAGTTTGAAAACTATTCAATATGTTTTTAAGGGGCCTGTTGCTTTCTTAATTTTTTCTGTGCTGTGTGCCTCACGCTTGCCCACTGCTCTGTACCCATCTGGGCAGATGCTGGATGCGCTGGCCTTTCCTCCTTTGCCGTGCCTGCTTTTATCACCTTTAGGTGGCATTTCCAAAAGGCTTTTACATTGCACCACATTGAGAAGACAGAGGGGATGCTCCTGTGCCTCATTTTCCCCTGCGTTTCACCCTCCGTAAGCCGCGGAGCCATGGAAAATCAGTCGCAAGCGTGCATGCAGGATGTGGTTTGAGATGCACCAGCGCCTCGGTTCCTGCTCCGAACCTAACGGGGCCTTGCCACCCCTTTTCAGCTTCATCTTTCTGCAAGAAAAAGGTGGGAGGAGGAGGATTTTGTTCAATCCAGAGCTCGCGTTCAGCCAAGCGGCGTGAAGTGAGACAAGGCCGTGGGTTTCGTTCTGATGCGCGTTCGAGCGGTGCCCGCAGCGGCGCAGTCGGAAGCGGCTTCGGGATGGACACCGAGACGCCGAGGACGCGACGGGGAACGACTGGGGCAGTGTTGGAGCAGCCACGGGCGTTGCACAACTCGGGGCCACGCTTTGCTCAAGAACGGGCTCCTGGTGCGGCGTCTTCCTGACAAGGACCCGATTGTGCTACGACAGGCGTGGACTTGCAGCATCGCTACCTCTGCCGCCGGCGTTTCGCCAGTTCGCTGCAAAGCAGGAGGAGAAAAAGCTGGTGTTGTCTTGGGCAGAAGGAAAAGCTGAGCGCTGGCAGCTGGATGTGGGGGTTTGGGGTTGTTTTTATTGCTACAGACTGGAAAAACCCCATTCTGAGGGGAAAGAGGAAGGAAAGAAGAATGGGAGCCACGCTGGGGGCGTGCTTGGGCAAGCGTGACTTGGGGGAAATGGCCAGGCCATGGTTTCTGGTGGCCTGGCTGCCCAGTTTGCTCTTACTGGGAGCAAAGGCAATTGGGCAACATCACCAAGAAGGAGAGGGCAGTTGGGGTTGGGTGGTCTTACCCGTCTGGATGCGAGGGTCCTGGCTGCTTCATAGCAAACACATCCTGGCCCCATGTGGGCTTGAGGGGATGGGACCAGTTCACAGCATTTGGCCAAAGTGCAGCTGGGGGGGATGCCCTCCCAACCAAACTGGGATCCCAGTCGCTGCCTCTGCATTCCCAGTGCCAGCTGCTGGGATGCAGCTGTGTCCTGGTCCCCTGCTGTCCCTTTCCAGCCTGCAAGCACATCAGTCTGTGCTTACAGCGATGAACATCTCAGGAGGACATGATGAGGGACGTTGAGCAGCAGTGGGTGCTCCTCTGGACGACTGGAGCAGCTGGAATGGGGTCTCCAGAGCTGTCCTCCCTGCAGCCGTTGAAGGTAGCTGGGGGTGTTGTTCCCAGAATTTATCATCAGAGATGCTGCCTGCAGAGCCAGAGATCAGCCCCGACACTGAGGAGCTTTCTCCTCCATCTCCCATCCCCTGCGACTGCTCCTCCCCTCCATCCATGGCTGCACTTTGGTGGTTTTATCAACCCTCCTCTCACTGGGGACCTCCTGCCCCATCCGCTGGGACTTCTCCAGCCTGGACACATGCTCTGTAATTACAAAACAAACGTTATACATCCCCAGGAGGGTCCTCACTTCTCCTCCCTCCCAGACACGCTGCCGGTATTGTCCTGGCTCTTAGCACGGGGCACCGTTTTCACCAGTTATCCACACCCCAGTTCCATCAGTTTAAAAACCAGTACCAGAAGGGGGAAGATTTATTCCAAGGGTTTCCTTTTGCTGTGTTTTTAACCAAAAAGCTGAACACCAGTCCCTCCCCGACCATGAGAAAGGGTCTTGTTCCCCCTCTGCTGTATGAGACAGACACAGAAGTCCCAGTTTGGGCGCTCACAATGAGGTCTCAGTGCCAGGACAGAAGGTCCCAGTAACCGGGAGCCTCGATGGCAGGGGAAATGAAGCAGGAGAGGACAGGGGTCATCGTTATCAGCGTTGCTATTTGGCCTCTGTGGTCCCCGTTGCCCCGTGAGCAATGCAGTGGCATGCAGGGAAGCTGTGCAACCCGGCGGGCCTCCTCGCTGAGAAATGAGCTGGCTCCTGCTGCCAGCGCTCTGGGTATTCCCCGAATAGACATGGAATTCGCTGAGTCTTATTATAGTTATAAAACTGCTATTTTTGACACTACGGGTAGACGGCGGGGGGGGGCTCGCTGGCTGGATCCTGGCTTTTTCTCTCTCTTGGACAGCTGGCTTTGTTTTCTCACCCAGCATTCATGAAAGGTGCCAGATTCAGGGCATTTCTTTGGGTTAATTTCTGTCTTTTATGTGAAGCACCATAGATTTGACATGAGTTTGTCCACTCCAGATGGCAAAATGTGCTCTATTTGTACAGAGCACATAGCGTGCCTATAGCACACCTGACCCCAGTGGAAGATTTGGGTGTCACCATCCCTGTCTCACCATAGATGAGAGTGGGAACCCCACTCTGGGGACATTTTGCCATCCTGACTCTAAAGCTGGGGGCATTTTGGGATAACAGAGAAGGCGGCTGAGCCTTGCCCAGGCTCAGATGCTCAGTGGTGGTTTGATGAGATGATGCGCAAGTCTTTGTGATCCCAACACCAAGATCACAGCATGGTAGGGGATGGAGGGGATCTCCAGCGTCCAACCCCCTGCCAGAGCAGGATCACCTGAAGAAGAACCCACAGGAACACGGCCAGGGCTTTGGGTGTCTCCAGAGAAGGAGACTCCACAACCTCTCTGGGCAGCCTGGGCCATGCTCTGCCACCCTCACAGTACAGAAGTTTTTCCTTCTATTTAGGTTGAACCACCTTTATTCCCCTTTGTGAACTGGATATTTATTATTTTGATATTATCATTATTAAGCATTAATGCAATCCAGACCTTCGATAGCGTTTGAGCACTGAGCGCCGTCCG